ATATTTAGAGTATACACTCTACTCTACTTCCCATAAATCATCTTTAGCAACTGTTATGTGAGAGGAATAAATTGATTTGGTGTTTGTAGTGAGAAAGATAAAGAAAAGAGCTACCGATATGTCAAAACAATATACTCTACTATAATACTACAAATATATATATCTATGGATATTGTAATCAATCAAAATCATATTTTTTCGGTCATAGTTCAATGCTTCCAGAGGTGGCTTTAATGGAACTCATTCAAACACCAGCAATACTCGTTGAATAAAAATAAAAATGTGGTTGCTGCAAACTGTGCTCACAAAATCATTTACCAGTAAATCCGGTTAAATAAAGTTTGACAATTAATTACAGCTCAATATTGATCTGCAAATTTAGGAATCCTATTTGTTTTTTAGACTTTTGCTTCTGACGAAAATATCATGACTCTCTGCAATCAGCAAGAAATTAATGCAACCTACACAACAAGTTGTAACACTGAAAAATATTCAATAGATTCACCATCAATACTTGATAATTATATTTTGACAATTTATTTGTCTACATTCTGATGATGATCTTGACTCTTAAATGATGAAAATACTTTTGTTTTTTTTTTTTACATCGCTAATCTATCTCAATTGATTCAAAGTATAGTTATTATACTTTAAATCTTATTCTTTAATACAGAAAGCATCAACCGGATTTTCAATCATTTTTGAATAATTCTATTTTTATCCAATTAAGAATAGAAAAACTTTTCAAATAAGAAGCACAACTCCTCAACAGCTTCAAGTCTGGATGAAAAATTCCTTCAGGTCAAAGTATCATTAAACTAAATCTATGGGTTTATATAAAAATAGTCTAGACGATAAGATGATTTTTATCAAGGTAAAATAATTGATACTTGTTGGCGTTGATTATTTTAAGATGCTTTTTTACATGCTGATAAAATCGATAAAATATAATTGGCTTATGGGAATGAATCGGGTCGTGTCTATTTCGCGACATCTATTGCTTTATTGGCTTTTCTCTTATAACCCAATTTGCTGGCCTTCCGCTGATCTATTATCAAACAAGAAAATCCTCTCTTGATTTCATTTCATCCTAAAGTGAAACCAATACTACTGTAAGGAAGATAAAGATGATTTCATAAATTAATGAAATAAATCTACTAAAAAATTTGCATATCAACATTTCAATAATCTCCAATGATAAAGATATGTGTAATCAATACATCTGGCTAAACCATGAACATCAGAAATACATCAATTGAATCCTGATAACAAAACCGAAGAGTGGTCTTTACTGTACTAGTCTTATTCCGCTTTTCTTCTCCATCTTCTTCAAGATTCTATTGTTAAGGTCGTCAATGCTCAGAGACCATAGTAGCCACTTGGTATTCCCTATAGGTGGCCACTAATCCGGATAATGGCAGCAACAGAAAGTCTATCCTTTCTTATATACTCTATCTCGTAAAAGAGATGAACATCTAATCCCCTTGAATTTGGAAATTCAACAAAGCCTATTCAACCATGGTCCGTAAGTTTAATTATTTTATTACGTCTTACCAACACTATTTTTAATATATATTATATTTCTACCAATTTGTAGGCAACTATTTAAAGCTACATCAAAACTACCATTCAATCATTTCAGATTTTGAAGACTTTTGGTGAAAAAGAATCCTTGCATTCAATCTTAATACAAGTTGCTATAATTATTGAATGAAATAAGTTAATTTGATGCAAATTATATTTTGTGGTCGTTTTAAGAGCTTATTTGAAATTGATGATTCAAAAATGAACTTTTCATCTCAATTTCTTTGTGATGATGAATTTAAAGTGCACATGTAGTTCACAGTCATCATTTGGTTCAATAGAATGAATCATTTATTATATCTAATGGTACTATATTTAACATTAACAAAAAATAGTTTTTAATTTTGTAAAATTAATAATCATATGCATAAGTAAATATATATCAACAAACTATATCATTTAACTAAATCATTACAACTTTCTCGTATTTAATTAATATTGTAAGTATTCAATTATAATAAATAAAAAGATGGATATTTCAATGTAATTCTTCAAATCCAAGTCTGATGTGTTTAGCGAAAAGTAGTTTTAAAAATCTCATCTCAATTATTGATTTATTGAAAAAATTTCCCACTCTTATATAATAATTTAACAAATAATTAAAACCAAGAAAATTTTCAACTATAAAAGAACAAATATTCCAATCAACAAATAATATATTCTTTTCATAGCCTGGCAAATGACAAGTAGGTCCTGCTTTTTCTAGTGATCGTTATTCAATTCTAGTTCCACAGATTCGAAGAATTAATGGTCAGCGAGGTATAGAAGTCTTGAAATTACGGGTCAGGCAAAGTATGACGAACTCTTTCTGAACACAAACTCACGTTTTTTTTTCCTTGTATGAGAATTCAATATTCAATAATAAAATATAATTCGAGAAAAAGCTGTGAAGTGAACAGCAAAAATGACTAATGGCAAACTTGTAATAAACGAAAAGCGACTGACATGAAATGTTTCTTGCACTAAACTGATGGTCGATCGATCGGACATGGAACGTCTGGGCCATTTGAAACATATTTGACTTTACTTCTCGCTCTTTCTGGTTAACACATGGTTCCATCAGAATGTAACATTTATTTCTATTCGCGTACATTGACTGATGGAAGAATTATTAAGTACTTTCTTGATCTATTACATGACATTTTCTCAATTCGTTCAAGTTTTATGGTAGGATGTGTACACAGACCTTCTATAGATGCATGTTCTATACACGTGGTATAAACGAGGAAACCTAAGAGACGTAACTGAAGTTTTAGTAGTTTAAGTCTTGTAGCGTTGAAGTCGCTTAGTGGTTTGGGAGTTTCAAGTCTGGTCACGAAAAGAAAAGCTCCAGAGACACGCGGTTTCGGTTATTCCGGACCAGCCATGTATCTCTTCTAACAAGTGATTAACGAGACAACCTACAGCTCTAACTTTATAGCCAAGTGATTTTGTCCATATTCTTTGTGTGCTTATCACAGTTTACGTTTATTTAAAAGTCTTATTTAATTGCTATTAAACAAGTTTTTCTCATGCACATAGAAAAATTACAAGCTTTGTGTAGTTTATTTATTAGGAGTATTAAATTATTATTCGTAATTTATTAGGGTTTTAGAATGTATACTGATTTTTTTTTAAAACCTACAAAGTATTGTTTTGTTAACAAAATCTTATTTAAGGAACTTTTTGGATGAAAGGTTAGTAAACTTTACTTAATTTTTGTTAGTCAGTGAATTCAACTAAAAGTTAGCAATTCGAAAGTGTTTAGTTTCAATAGGATTCTTGATCGTACTTTTGAAAACAGTTTGGTCTTTCAATATTTATTTTTAAATTTTTGTTTGAATTAAAAAATGGTAAAAATTAAACAAAAATGAGTAAAGTAACATTTTGAAGCTTAATTAATAAATAAAAATATAGATAAAAAGTGTGACTCTATAGTTTTATTATTTAGTATGTAGAAATAAGGAGTGTCAGAACAAAGATAGATCATACTACTGGTGATAATTTTAATGGCATTTATTAATAATAAATTGAGTCGTTTCAATTATGTAAAATGCGAATCATAATTTATGTCTCAAGAATAAATGCTTTAGTTAGGTGGTAATGTTTTTGTGAATTTTTATTAATAAAATTTAACCAAGTAAAAGAATCAGCTTCAGTAGGAAGTGAAACAACTAGATTTTGTGCCGACATTTCCTGAGTATTAAAAGAATTTTAAAGAAGAAAAAAAATTATGGTTGTAGGATCGTCTTACTTTTTTCCAATTCACTTGAAAAATTAAATTTTCTTCACTATTCTGAAAAACGTGAAGTAATCAATGAAACACTAGTAATCAAAAACTTCCTCCTTTTTAAATAGAGCATACTTATCTGAACAAGAAAAAAAGATATTAATACTTTTCATTTTTTTGTTTTTTTTAACGAAAAAAAATATTGCTGTATAAAATGATGAAAAATATGAAAGTTTAATAATAAAGAGTTTTTTTAAAAATATTTTTTAATATATACTTGATATAAATAATAAAATCAATGACATTATAAGTAAATGAATATGTATTGAATCAAAAAAACTTAAAGGCGGTGTTTTATATATTATCAAGATCAAGCAATGGTAAATGTGGTTTCTCTAACTTGCCAAAACAGGTAAAAGTGGATAACATCTCACTTTTTTGACACATCGAGAAACTAATCTAGAGTTACCACATGGGCTCAGAATTTTCCTCAATTGCTTTTATGTAGAAAAAAACATTGGATGCAATTACAGCCAAATACGCAAGAGTAATCTTTTTTGGTATCAAGATATAATATAAATAATACTTAATACAATTTTTTTATGTGTCAAATAAATTCAATAACAACCCGTTTTATATTGAATTCAATTTGAGAGAATAATATTTATAATTGTATTGATATTTAAATACATTTCCCTTCAGTTGATTTCTTAATGTTATTTGAATTACATTTATGATCCTTCTGATGCTTCGTATAAAATTTATTGCATGCATTAAATAAACTATGATTTGAAATGATGGTAATAAGGATTTAACAACAATGGTGGGAAAGATCAAGTATTTGAAAGTATCAAAGTTTTCTAAAAGTTGTGGCTTTTAGCTTTTATCCATCTTTAAATATTAAATCAACATGTGAAAGTCAATTGAAGTTTTGAATACCAAAATAATTCTTTTATTTTAGGATTCAAAATCAGCTTTTTCTTAGAAAAAAAAGAGAAATTAATGGTTTCAGTGGCATTTTAATTTCAATTTTGTAAAAATTAATTAATTTACGTAAATATAAATCATCAAATTTTACTATAAAATATGCAGAAAGGAAATCTGCATTAAATTTTTAAATACAATTAAAATAAAACCATCAATTGTCTTTTTCTTTTCATTACTTTTAAAGCATAATGATGATAAAAATAAATCATTATAACCATACCTTCTTTGCATCATTATTGTTGTCAGTAGCATGATGTGGCTGCGGACTCATTGATGCACCATTATTAACAGCACCACTTTGTGATAGGAGTTCATCACTTCCTCTCTGAAACATACAAATAAAACGATACGAAATTCAATACTCCATGCATAAGAGTAATAAAAATATTGCGGAGAAAAAAATGGTGTTTTACAGATCATTAATTTATATGTAAAATAAAATACTACCAGATGACGTATGGAAGAGACCACCAAGGTGGTTTATAGAAGCATAAATTTGGTTAAAAGCGTAGTCGTTATAGTGCTGACTTATAATAAAATAGTAATATAAAAATATACATTGAAAAGTGCACAGTAATACAAACATAAATATATTGATAAAAATAAAAATGGAAAATTAATCGAAAAATGACAACTATAATTCTCAAACGAAATAATTTATAAAAGAGTTTCAAGTATTGCAGTAATTTTACTGGGAATAACGAATTAATTCATAGTCTGAAAAGACTACTTTCATACAGCAAAGAGTGAAAAAGAGAGAAATAAAGTAAGAAAATGTTATGCTCTTACGAGGTTGAGGAGACGGAATAGTAGATCAAAGGCCACGCTGAGGATTTGAGGTATTATGGCAATAGGAGTTAGAAGAAGACGGATGATATACCTACTCTATGAGAAGAACCAGCAGATAGGACAAGCCGGTCTCTTAACTTGGAGTAACCTTCTTGTGCAAGCGCCCATTCGGAACGCAAAAGAAATCCTTGTGCTTGCAGACCCAATGTCATCATTTTACGACGAGCTTTGTCTAATAGCGCATGCAGTTGAGTTTTCTTATTATATATTATAAAATTATTCAATGTTCAGTGATATGTTGATTTAATTCTCTCTAAAATATATCCTATCGATAGACTTTCTGACAACATTGGATTATTTTTAATCACCAAACACTGGTTTATATAAATACTCCTGAACTTTCTTATGATCTTAAGAGGGATCTGCTTGAGTGTGTTTATTGTTTAAATAAATAGAACAAATTCTAAGTAAAATTTATAATATTATTTTTGTCTAATTACGTAAATAAATTACTTATTTATGTTGATCGATTTTCTTTTGTCATCATTCATGTCCATCAGAAAATTGAAACATAATATTTGAGTATAATTGAATAGTAAATTTCTTCGAAAATTGTTCAGACAATTGTGCGTAAAAAATGAAGTTAATTAATTATTTTACTATTAAATTTATGAATAAAATGATTTCCGGAAATAAAACGTTAATTACTAGTATATTCTTAATCCGTATTAAATTAAATTAATTAGACTGATTGAATTTTCTCGAGAGCTAATTAATTTTGATGTTATAAATCAACTTCAGAGTTTCGCTTGGTGGAAATCGTTTATAATGCGCGGTGCTTTTGAACTTTTCGGCTATTACTTGATGCATTGAATTTGAAAATGGGATGTAAATAAAATTGACGTTACTTTGTACATCAAGGGGATAGTATAAGCTTTTGTATGTAAGTGAATTGTAAGAAGGCACAAGGTAGAGATAAACTGTTAGTATAGAGAGGAAATTCTGTTTTGCACTGAAATCACGATTTATCTAAATTTTATTGTTATTTTTAGAAAAAAGAGAAGTAAAGGCAACGAAATTTTGTGATTTTTGAAATCTTAAATGCAAGTGAATAATTTACAAACAATCAAGTGAGCTTGTCAATGTTAAATTATCTTAATTATTTAGCATATGTTTCAAATGTTTTAGATAGATAATTTAACACGATTGAACTGTAGTTATTTAGTTTTTCTTTGATGTATACACTTGGAAATATTTTTTCTTCATGTATTATTTTGATTTTAATAATCTCCAAATCTCTTTTTCAATGCACTTCGTCTCCATCTTTTAGATATACATAAATTCTTAGTACCACATGTTTGTGGAACATTTGAAATTTAACATAAAAATTGAATTATGTAGAGTTATTTCTTAAATTCAAATTCCTCTTGTGCATTTTACAAAGAATATAAGAACATAAAAATATCGTATTTAATAAATGATAGTATTCATTCCGTCAGCTACCCTATTCACTACCTTCAAATAAATTTCTTGATTTATATCAAGTCTTTTGAGAGATAAAAACTCTGATTACAAATTATGCAATATGGCGATAAATATTGAACTATTTATAAAACGTTTTATGTTAACTATTTTATTAAATGATTTATATTTAATAATTTCGATTTAATTGACACATTTACATTACAATGATGATGAAATTTAACTACAATATTTTAGGTGCCTATACAATCTCCAAATGAATACTCACGAAATCTCCTAAATTACAGTCAATATCAAATTTTTCTGAATATTATTACCGATCAATTTCAATCAGGAATTAAATTATTCAAGGTTATTAATAAACTTTATCAAATAAATTCATGTGAAAAGTTAAATCAATGGATATTGATTATTTACTGATTAAATAAACCACAATACACACTACATACTATGATTATTTTATCAATATTATTGTTACAGTCACCACGATAATACTTATAGATATATTACAAATGCCCAAGGTAATATTACTGTTATTCAATAATAAATCTAATCACAACAGATAGCTGAAAATTTTTTTTTGAAAAAATTACTCATAAATTAATCCACAATATAACTTACTTTAATATTAAAATTAATCTACCTTTAAAAAAGTCTTTAGTATAATAATTTTTTATATATATATATATTTAAAATGAAAAGAGCAAAAAAATAACAATTTTTCCGTATAAAAATAGTGGTCAGTGTGAGTGATAAAGTGAGAAAGAAAAAGTATTAAAGAAATAAGCTAGACGAGGCTACCAACCGCTACTCTCGATATTTTTCCAGTGTAAGTACAGAGTAAATAAACATTGATTAATTATTAATACTCTCGAATAAACAGAAAGTATTTTGTAAATTATATATAACTATTGTTTGTTTAACTACATGAAAATAAACATACATTATACATTATTAATTGTAAGTCATTAAAAGTAAACTTTTTTTCGAGTGTGTGTAGACTCAAGGGAACCACTTACGTAGAAATACTTGAATTCACGCGTAGAACAGTGTGATGTTTGGAGTTGTTTTTTCAGAGTTTGAAAAATGAATTAGAATATGTGCTTTCAAACATGTATATTTCTACATATTTTAAACACTAATGTCTTTTTTGCGGATGCTTTTTAGAAGACTATTTGTAATTCTACTTTTTTTAAATAAATAATTAATTTGCTGATTTTTTTTTTGCATGAAAGTAGAGTTTGAAAATTTAATTTAAAAATAAATATCTTGTTTAGTGATCTAATAGAATCGGAATGTATCATTTAACGTTCTATTATCACCAAACTTTTAAAAAAATTCAGTCATTTTTTTCCTCATTAAAATAAGGAAATATATATTAGAAATGAAATCATTACCAAAAAAAAATATTTACTCCAACTCTCCAACTTTATTTAAACGACATTTTTGGACGAATTTTCCTCATACCAAGAGTGGTTCTCTTTCATCAAACATTCAAATAAACCAGTAAATCGAGTATTTAGAGTGGTATTCTTCTTCAACATAAAAAAAAATTTGATCAACACATTGAATTGATTTAATCCAGTATAAGTACTTGAAGGCACTGAAGTAATATGAATGAAAAGTCAAGTAAAAATGTATAAATAGTAAAAATGAAGTGAAAGTTTTATAAGACTACTGTTGAAGTTTACACGCTTGATAAAGCTTTCTTCTGAGCTGACCTATTGTAGTGGGTTTATTCTCATGGGATATCATCACTGAGCCATGGTTTGTCCAGTGAGTTGGAAAAAAAGAAGGAAGATGGTTTAAAAGGAAGGAATAAAAGTAAAGAAGATTTTTGCTGGGGACATGAGTTAATAATAGATAGATCTCTTGAAAATAAATAATACACGAACCGGTGGTTATGTGGCTTTATATCCAATGTTGTATAATGGATGAAAAGTAGTACTGGGCACTCGTGCGAAAATACACAAGGCAAGGCACTTGAAGAAGTGGAAAACGGATAGGGAACTCAATAGATCGGTAGGAAGGTAAGTCGTCTTTTCTGGACAACCACAACTCCCAATATCTCGAGTAGGTCGAGAGATGAGTAGACCTCGGTCTTGCTCAGCTGAACCTTTTGGAACGCCGGTCGATGGGAGCACCAACTTTACCACTTTGAACGACGCTCGCTCACTTCTTCTTAATGGATTGTAGCGCAACACAGACTTTGAACGAGCAGAAAATATTCCAGCTTCGTGGTGATAAAGCTGAACCCACAAAGTGGTTAGATCCTTCAACAATGTGCTTTTGTAAGGTAGTTTTAACTGATTTTATTTACTTTGTTACTTGTCAGTACTTTGAAGTCTATAAAAATAAATGAGTCTATCGTTGAGGAATAACATTTTCAATTCTATTTTTCAAGGATTAATAACAATTAGCGATTCATTAGATATATTTCAACTTTTTTCCCTTTTTCTCTTTAAAAATCACACTAATGAGGATGTTGTTTCACTGAGTAATGACGACACATGAGAATATCTGGTGGTAAGGTATCTTCATTGAATATTGCTCGTTATTATGATGCTAGTGATCTATATAAAATACTTGGTTATAGCGTACGGCATACCGGAAATAGAAGTAATGAAGACTTGTAATCAGCGCAAAAGTTTTAAGTACTCGCTCAGAGGAGGATTCGGTTATAGTTGGAAAACCAAATCTGTTTCAATATTTTTCAACGAGAAACTTTAAGAAAGACTCGTTTAATTACAATAAATTATTTATTTATAATAATCGTTTATTTTTATTATTCTATTAATTGATAAAGTTATTAAAATTGATCGAACAATTTTGAATAATTCAAAAAACAATCAAGATTTAAAATTTAATGATTGAAAAGATGATTTTTAAACAACATTTTAAGTAATTTTTAGATTGAATAAAAAACTATTGCATCAAAATATATACTCGCTAATTCAATCAGTCAAATTAACTAATTTATTTGAGCACCACGAGATTGGCCACAGTTTATTGAACCAAGTATCGATACATCATAGTGACTTTCTGATGAATGTA